CCAAAAAACTCATTAATATCAAAGCTGAATGTTTTTGGAAGTAGTTTTTAGTTTGTTTTTAGTTTTAGCTATTTTAGGGGGATATCTGTGTGTGCAGGTGACTATTACTGTGCATAATTATTAGGCAACTTAACAAAAAACAAATATATACCCATTTCAATTATTTATTTTTACCAGTGAAACCAATATAACATCTCCACATTCACAAATATACATTTCTGACATTCAAAAACAAAACAAAAACAAATCAGCGACCAATATAGCCACCTTTCTTTGCAAGGACACTCAAAAGCCTGCCATCCATGGATTCTGTCAGTGTTTTGATCTGTTCACCATCAACATTGCGTGCAGCAGCAACCACAGCCTCCCAGACACTGTTCAGAGAGGTGTACTGTTTTCCCTCCTTGTAAATCTCACATTTGATGATGGACCACAGGTTCTCAATGGGGTTCAGATCAGGTGAACAAGGAGGCCATGTCATTAGTTTTTCTTCTTTTATACCCTTTCTTGCCAGCCACGCTGTGGAGTACTTGGACGCGTGTGATGGAGCATTGTCCTGCATGAAAATCATGTTTTTCTTGAAGGATGCAGACTTCTTCCTGTACCACTGCTTGAAGAAGGTGTCTTCCAGAAACTGGCAGTAGGACTGGGAGTTGAGCTTGACTCCATCCTCAACCCGAAAAGGCCCCACAAGCTCATCTTTGATGATACCAGCCCAAACCAGTACTCCACCTCCACCTTGCTGGCGTCTGAGTGGGACTGGAGCTCTCTGCCCTTTACCAATCCAGCCACGGGCCCATCCATCTGGCCCATCAAGACTCACTCTCATTTCATCAGTCCATAAAACCTTAGAAAAACCAGTCTTGAGATATTTCTTGGCCCAGTCTTGACGTTTCAGCTTGTGTGTCTTGTTCAGTGGTGGTCGTCTTTCAGCCTTTCTTACCTTGGCCATGTCTCTGAGTATTGCACACCTTGTGCTTTTGGGCACTCCAGTGATGTTGCAGCTCTGAAATATGGCCAAACTGGTGGCAAGTGGCATCTTGGCAGCTGCACGCTTGACTTTTCTCAGTTCATGGGCAGTTATTTTGCGCCTTGGTTTTTCCACACGCTTCTTGCGACCCTGTTGACTATTTTGAATGAAACGCTTGATTGTTCGATGATCACGCTTCAGAAGCTTTGCAATTTTGAGACTGCTGCATCCCTCTGCAAGATATCTCACTATTTTTGACTTTTCTGAGCCTGTCAAGTCCTTCTTTTGACCCATTTTGCCAAAGGAAAGGACGTTGCCTAATAATTATGCACACCTGATATAGGGTGTTGATGTCATTAGACCACACCCCTTCTCATTACAGAGATGCACATCACCTAATATGCTTAATTGGTAGTAGGCTTTCCAGCCTATACAGCTTGGAGTAAGACAACATGCATGAAGAGGATGATGTGGACAAAATACTCATTTGCCTAATAATTCTGCACTCCCTGTATTGAACAACAGATGTTGAAGCTGGAGCTGCAAGGCAGGAAGAGAAAGCGAAGACCACAGTGAAGATTCATAGATGTAGTGAAGGAGGATGCTAGCGCTAGGGTGAGACAGATAACCCCTTCCCCTTCTTTATGAGCAGCCAAAATAAGAAAACTGGTGCACAGGTGCAGGGAATTAGAGCTGTGAGGAAGACACACATTATTTGCGCTTTCTTTATGAGCTTGCTTTGTCTTTAATTCATGCAACTGACTTTTAGGTTGTGTATTTTTCATCTAAAATATTGACTTTAGTTTTTTCATCTCAATGGACTGGAAATGACTTCAAATTCCCAAACATGTTTTTGTTTATTTATTTATTGCTAGTTGCTAGATTCTGGTTCACAGAGTGCTCCAGGAAAGAAAGCAAGAAAGTTACAATTTACACCGTATTTTTTGGACTACAGGGCGCACCGGATTATAAGGCGCATAAAGCGAAACAAAACTGTCAGATAAGTCGAACTTTATTCAACTATTCAAAAACTCTCAACATTGTTCAGTTGTAACACAAAAAGTGTAGAACAATACACTCACTTTTTCAGTTCATTCCTCTTCCACAAATCCATCAAATTCTTCATCTTCAGTGTCTGAGTTTGACAGTTGGGGAATTTCAGCGTGTCTCTTAACAGGTGCCATTTCGGGGTCCTTATACACACACCATAATATTATGTTGAAGCACAGTAGGTATTACTCTGCAAGACTCCTGACTATAGTAGCAGTAATGCTCCGACAATCTAGCGGTGCGGCTTCATAGCTTACCAAAGTACCACATAAAATCAGTTTGAGGTCAGTAAGCACAACCAGAATTAATACATAAGGCACACTGTTTTGATTTTTGAGAAAATGAAAGGATTTTCAGTGTGCCTTATAGTGTGGGGGGAAAAACGGTATTTTGAAATGTCTTCTTCTTCAAAAAAAACAACAACAAAAACTGTAGTTTTTGATCTTTTTAAGCTTTTTATATTATGTGTTTTTTATGTAGTCCTTTCGATGACCTGATATATCCAGATAAATATTAAATATATATCTGTGTGTGTGTGTGTGCGTTAAAAAGTGCACCACAGACGATCTGTTTATGACTTCTGCACGGACGTAGAGCATCCAAACGAGGTAATAGAGTGGCTTGCTGTTGGTTTTCTGAGGCTCAGGTTGTAGAGCAGATCAGCTACTGACTGGAAGGTTGGTGGTTCGATCCTTGGCTTCCCCAGTCTGCATGCCAAATATCCTTGGGCAAGATACTAACCCCAAGTTGCTCTCCGATGTGTCCGTCAGAGTGTGAATGCATTCACTGAAGTGCAATTGGTGAGATTGCACTTGAGGATATAATGTATGAGTTGGTGTGAATGGGTGAATGAGGCATGTTGTATGCACACTTTGAGTACTCTGAGAGTAGAAAAGCACTATATAAGAGTCTGACGTTTGCCATTTACCAAGAGACAGGGAGGGGACGGTACAAGCATTCTGAGATTGTTAAAGTAAAGTGAACAATAAAAATCCAGGGAGGTAGTTATCGTGTTTTCAGAGAAAAACAGATACTTGGATTACTTATTAATATGATTGTAGTCCTTATGATAGAGCAGCTATAGTTTTATTTCCTTCTTTTCACTTTTTCCATCAGGCTGCATCAAATATCTTATAAAATCAGCTCTGGATATAACATTTCAACACTCTGACTGCAGTTTAGACTGAGCAATATCACAAAATTAACTCTAATAAAGAAACAAACAAAGGGTCTGAGGAGGTTTGCACATTCAATTGGCAGCATTACAAAGAATCACTTGGCAAGATATGTGTTTTTGTTTTGGGTCTGTTATTCACAGAATGACTCATGGTACAGCAGGTTCCACAGCCTGTACCTCATTATCAGTGAGGATATACATATTTGCACAAAGAACAACTGTAATTATATACCATCAGACACCAGTGAATGGCTAATCAGACGACGGTGAATCTAGAGAGCCATTCGGGATGTGTGTTTCATGTTTTTAATCAGCTTTAGCCCCAGATTTCAACCTCTTTCAACACTGTGCTGGAGCCTGCATGAATATGCATGAGTCAGTGAGTATTCCACAACAACTGCTGCCCATCCAAACATTTCCATAAATTTGACTGAAATTATTGTCTATTGTGTGGAAACGTGGACGGGTATTAATCAGATTAGAAGAAAATACAGTAGAATCTACAGAGAACACCTGCTATCGATAGAGGTCGATGCTGCAACCAGGCTGTACTACATATGGACCCATTTAATCCAAGACTCTGCCACCATCTCCTTGTCTGGAAAAATGTACATATGAATACAGAATCATGACCTGTAGACTGCGGTGATTTCATGTTTACTTCTTCAGTATGACTGGCCTGTGTGTTTTCTTCCAGAATCCCCCACCTGTATCCAAACTACATCCCGGAGCAGTACAACCCTCCACCCTTCAACTATTCAGACCCGGCTCTGCAGTACATTACTCACTGCAGCCCTCGAATCCTGGACAACTACGTACCAAGGCAGCGCCATAGATAGCACACGCTTACAGCTGCATACATCTCACGCACATTTGCATCTTATCAACCACAACATTAAAACCACATACAGTACACAATTGTGTATGCCACCCTCGTGCCCCAGATCACCTCTCAGCCATCAGCGCGTCGACATGGGACCTCTTGATGAGGCTTCTTGTGGTCTCAGCTGTGGATCATTGCGGCTGTGGGCTGTTTTAGGGCATCCTGTGGACTCTGTGGAGTATGAAACTATGGGTCAGCCTCTTTTTGTTGTTATCTTTAAGAAATTGCTGTGAAGTCATGGTGTATTTTTCTGCTGGGGAGGAGGCTGCCGTCGGTGAGGTGCTGGGGCAGAATGTTGTTCATTTCTAGTGTCTTCTCATCCTGACGCAATGTAAGCATGAGGTGTAATTGAGCGCTGGTTTTGCACTTATTTGTTCCTCCGTGCTTGTTACTTTCACTTCCACTCAGTTTATTCTGTAAAAACAACTTGGTTGGTTAGGGTTAAGGAAGAGATGGTGGTTTGGGTTAAAACGTACCCCCCAGCTTTGTTTTTGACACATGACGAGCGACAGGGAATGGCTGCTCAGTGTCTCTTATGCTACATGCGTCAAGGCATCCATGCAAAGGAGAATGAGCACAAATCAGTCCTGTATGATAAACATCACTAATTCATGCCCCAGGGATGCCAGAGGGCTGTCACTTTCCCTAACAGTGGTTTTAATGTTGTGGCTAATCATTAGGTGTTTAAAAATGTTGAGATGACAGATTTTGATTTATCCCATCACAAAGAAGTAATCAAACCCGAGTGACTTTAAAAGACAGTTATTTCCAATCCTCTCCATTGATCCAGTGAAGGATGTGCCAAGATCGACAGTTTAGAGTCAGAGTCTTACCCAGCAGAATTCGACAACCTCTTGGCTGGAGACGCTGATGAAAAGTAAACCACTGCAGTGGTCCTTGGTTTCCAGCTGATCCAACGCCAACAGCTTGTTTGATAGCAACATTAGCATTAGTCAGAGTACCCGATGTCAGGATCTGCTCACAATAAATTAAGTAAAATTAATCCCTACTGGCAAAACCAGCAGCACTCATACCCAGTAAAACACAATGAATTCAATTTGTGTTATTATTCTGCCGAGACTTCAATCCATGAAAAGTAGATGTCGCTGTTTTTTAAAAGGTATTTATCTGCTGTGAAAGTGACACCCTTTATTGTTTATTGATTGACTGTGTCCCAATAAATTTGACAAAGCAAGAGTGATTCAGTGCTGCAGCTGGAAGCTGTCAGTCGTAAAACCTCCCAGACTCTGCAAGTAAGAACCATTTCTAAGTCTAAATAAAATGCCACTTTAGCAACCCTGTGATATTGTTTCAAGAGCAGAAAGGGTGGATGCAATGAATTTTGCTATTGCATCAACCATGTCACTTTATAATGCTGGGTACAAAATGATTGTTTGGCTAAGGATAGTACAGATGTGCAAACATCCTCTTGCCAGCTGATACGAGTCATATTGAAGCTGCTGACAGCTGGATTGTGCTAATAGAATTCAATTATTCAATTCAGTTTTATTTATACAGCGTCAAATCACAACAGTGTTGCCTCAAGGCAACGTAGACCCTAAGGTAGACCCTATAATAATACATACAGAGAAAAAGCCAACAATCATATGACCCCCCTATGAGCAAGCACTTTGGCGACAGTGGGAAGGAAAAACTCCCTTTTAACAGGAAGAAACCTCCAGCAGACCAGGCTCAGGGAGGGGGGGCCATCTGCTGGACCGGTTGGGGTGAGAGAAGGAAGACAGGTAAAAGACATGTCTTGAGAGAGACAGTAGTTATTCTAAACATTTAAAGGTAATATAGGCGGGTTGCTCACATTCTTAAATCAAGCACTTTATGAGAAAAGAGGACATTAGCCATTATAGTCACCATATCACATTGAAATAATTACAATTAGTGCATCATTCAACGCTAAAGCAACAGTGCCAGTTAATTAGGAGATGTCATTAAGTTATCAATAAGCATCTGAACTGTGGTGGAAAAGTACTCTGTCCAGCCTGTGTGCACAGTTAGGAGAATTGAAAATGAGCTTTTCTTCATTCACAGTGTTCATGGAAGTAAGTTAAATTTGAATTCTATGAGTGAATTTTCAGAGTAAAACAACTCATTATGTATTAGCGTATAAGCAGGATAGTGTTGGTCAAAAAAGGTCTAAATTTTAGCTGATTATGTATTTTATGCCATGGATGGTAATAAGGGCGTCAGCCTTTGGGGACATTGGTTTTATGTTATTTAAACAAGTGGACAGTCTAAACAACCACAACAGTCCTGTAGCAGTTTAATCTTTGCTGCCTGTAACAAAGAACCACACCTACTCAACCAATCGGCAGTTAAAAGATTTGTATGCTTGTTAGTTAATATGTTGAACTGAAAGGAGAGGTACTCTGTAATACTGCATGTACATAAAGTTTTGTAAAAACCTTCAGTAAAAGTTCCAAAGTATTATCCACAAAGTGTACTTTAAATAAAATAAGTACTTACAGGCTTAATGCTCCCTTTCTGACTGTTTATTAACTATATCTTTGTATCCTAATGTAAATTAAAGTAACCTCATACTTATATTTCTATACAGCACTTAGCGAAATAGACAGTTATTTTCCAGGATTGCGTTTGATTAGTATTCCTTTCACAACTCTTCATGCAATTCCTGCTCCTACCACCAGGGGTCAGAGCTGAGACTTTCCACACAAACTGGCTCAATCACATTTGTTTACGAGCTGGGTCTGAGCAGAAACAGCACTCCCACAGCTTCACATAAACGCACACACAGACAGCCTGACACCTGTTCTGCAGCCTTCATCTGGAAGCGGCTGCAGCATGCAGCAGAGAGAGCTACCCCCTGCAGAATGAGATCATCTGAGAGGGGGCACGGAGCGAGGCAGCCCTGCAGGTCCCTGCCACTGCGGAGACAGACTTGGCCCGCACTCCAGCAAGGGTCAAGGACGCGAGAGCTGCTGCAACTCTCTACCCCGTCACTTCTTTTGCACACCAGAGAAGGTGCTCGTGCACAGAAATGCCTTGTGATGCTCGTTGATTCCTCTGGTTTCACTTTCTACAGGGCTGACTGAGAGAGTAAACTGAGATTACACCCACACTACACAGAACATTTGTACGGGGAACTTCTGGAAAGAAAGAAGCACAGACAACAAGCTGAGCTCCTGACCCCTGCGACCCCTGTGCGAAAGCACGGGTAGCACCTGTGAGGATGAATTCACCTTGGCATCGGAGCTTTGTAGTGCTACCTTTCTGGATGGTTCCAAGCAGCACTGTTTCATGTGCTGCTGAAGGCTGCAGTGTTTGAACTCTGCAGCAGACAACCTGGAGGCGAGCCAGTGAGAGAAAGGGTGGAAGGGAGAAGGACAGAGTTAGACAGAGTCAAGGAAAGAGTTTGTGTTGGGGCGCGGGTGGGGGAATCAGGAGGGAAAATAAAAAGCCAGCGAGTAAAGATAAACTGTAGTGACTGTAGTGACAGCCAGTAAGTGGTTTTGTCCTTCAGATCCTATCAAATAAAACTACTAGCATGTGCAGGTTTTGTTTTTTGGTGGAGGGGGGTGCATTCCACTTGATTTAGAGCCAGGCTTTACAAACAGTAACACATTTCGGGAGGAGGGGGTAGGAAACTAAGTGCATGCTTAACACTATATCCATTTCATCACAACATGATTGAAATAGGCAGGGAATCACAGGCCCAGACCAAATCCTCTTATACGATTTGAAGCCATTAATCATTTCTGCCTCATGATGTAATTTTGAAAAACAAGTCTTTTCTCAGTAACAGGTAGGCCAGGGTGCCCTATGGGATTGACTCATGAGCGGCTAGCCCGTTGTTAGACCTTATTTGGCTAATACCCTTATTGAATGGCTATAAAGCCATTCTTGCTGACAGGGAGTGGTTTCCAGCGTTACTGAATGGACCAGATGTCTGGCCACTGTGTGCTGGGAACTATTGCTAGTAATCAGGAATTATTTGCAGAGGCTGGTCAGATGTACAGACAGGTGACAGAATAAAGGAAAAACCCAAACCTTTGTTCCTAACAAGGGGTCAGAGTACAGTGACATGTACCTATGGCATGGGAGGGTTTTAATTAGAGGGAAATGCTGTAAATCAATAGAGAGATATTCCAAGTAGTCACCTTTTTTCTCTTTCTATCCTGCTAACAGCGGTCCCTTCCATGTGTCATGATCTTTGCAGGAAACCGATCTCAACCCGCTTGAACACCCAGTGCTTATGCAGTTCAGTTCAGTTTTAGTTGTATGGCACCAAATCACAGCAGTCACTTCAAATTACTTTATATTATAAGATAAAGACCCTACAATAATAGAGAGAAAACTCCAAACAATCACTCCCTTGAAAAAGCACTTGGAATAGTGGGAGGGAAAAACTCCCCTTTAACAGGAAGAAACCTCCAGCACAACAAGGCTTTGGGAGGGGCGGCCATCTGCCACAACTGGTTGGGGGTGAGGCGAGGAAGACAGGACAAAAGATACACTGTGAAAGAGAGCCAGAGAGTAATAGTAACTAATGATTAAGTGCAAAGTGATGTATATGCATAGTGAGCAATAAGAGGTGAGTGAAGAAGAACCACTCGTTATATCAGCATATAAGCCTAGACTTAACTTACTGAGGGTTCGGAGTCATTGATCCAGCGCTAACTACTTGTTTTATCAAAAAGGAAAGTTTAAGCCTAAAGTTTAAGAAGCTGGCTCCACAGAAGAGAGGCCTGAAAGGTGAAGGCTCTGCCTCCCATTCTGGGAGAGAATTCACCAAAACACTATAGAAAAATGGTGCTCCATCCCTCCAGCAGAGAGCCACATACTGTGAGAATCAGTGCTAAGGAACAGTGAAGCTATTTCAGACACCTTGTTGAGATACTTGTTTTTCCCTTGAATTTTCTCCTCATAAGAAGATAAAATAAAATACATACATGCACAAAACGCGCTCTTCCCCCTGCTGTTTGACCATCCCTGCATGTCAACATACACAGTTGCATTCAGATGTTCTAACACGCTCTCCAAAGCAAACAGGTGCAGCACCCGATGTGTACGTTGCTGACACGATGCAAAAACTCTTTTCACTACTGGCTTGACACACGGCTAACAGCCATTCTCTGCCATGAAAGGCAATCCTCTCACTTGGCACTGAAACAGCAGGTGCATTACAAATCCTCATCCATTAAAAATGGCGCCCGCGTCTTTCGGTTACACAGGTAAACATCGTCTCATATTTGTCACCCTCAAAGTCCTCGCACAACTTGCTTGAAAGCTGTTTTGTTTGAGAGCCTATGCCAGCTACCATAGGGCGAGACGCGGAGTACAGCTCGGAGAGATCACCAGTCTGTCGCAGGGCTAGCACATAGGATGTAAATGGCTGTCTCTTAAAGCGCTTTGGGTCCGCTTCTGTTGTTTAAACATGCTATAGGCTATAAATAGCATTTCCAATAAGGTAGTTTATTTAACACAATTCAGTGGGCTGCATACTGAACCTAGAGGATAGAACAAAGTATCCCTCCTATTGTACTGGTATCATTCCAGTACCAATAGCAGCATTGGTATCCATACCATCAATATCTGGATCGATCCACCCACCTCTGAAGCTAACTGCTGTCAGTGGGAAGGAGCATTAACGTGTTGGGGGAAGCAATGTATTAATGAAGATGGAGGGCTGACTTGAGCTGATTTCCACTGAACTAAAGCGAACTTTGACCCCTGCAGTACAGTAATGATGCAGTATTATAAAAAGAAAACAAGCTCTGGGCTGGGCAGCGTTTGATAAGAAAGCAATACGTGAGGTAGTTACATATTCACAGAGCTGATAAGAAGAGGGGAGACGTAATATGTGCTAGTGCCCTGCAGTGGTTTGAGCATTGTGATTAATCTGAGCACAAATAAATAATAAAAAAAAATAATACCCCAGAGTTAACATGATACACATCCATCAATGCCAAAACAGTCATGCAACAAATACTGTATAATGTTCCATGTTAAGCCTAGAGTTCATTTTAAAGCCTGCTTGGTTTACATCATGGAACCTTGTTTCAAGTTTTATAGACCATTAAGTAACACCTCTTTAGTTCCAGTATGCCCCATCCTTATTAAAAGCCAGGCTGTGCATACCTTTGACCTGAACGAGGCCCTCTGAGACCTAGGGGGCATTGAAAGGCACTTCATCAACCAATCAAATAGCCGATACTGCACGTTAGATAAAGTGTATCTATAGAAACCGGGGCAGGAGGCCAAAGTGGAAAGCTATTATGTTTTTGAAATATTTATGGCCCAACAGTGTACCATTGTGTCTAAAAAGGTCTTATTAGAGCAATTCCCCGTTGACGTTCCTTAATAACGTGTGAGCTGAAAGCAGTTAAATGTCTGCGGCATTGACAAAAGTGCATAAAAGTCCACATTGTCCTGTTTGCCAAGTGTTTTTAAGGAGACGCAAAGTGAATTTGTACACCTCCGTGTACAGTCATCGCACATGGATCAGCTTAACTGGTTCTTGTGACCGACTTTTTCAGTTCATTCCTCTTCCACAAATCCATCAAATTCTTCATCTTCAGTGTCTGAGTTTGACAGTTGGGGAATTTCAGCGTGTCTCTTAACAGGTGCCATTT